AAGGAAGTTTGATGTAATGGAAAATTGATTCGAGACATCTCTCGCAATCCGGGACCCTTCAGGGGATGTTGGAGAGCCAGTTTCGGCCTGATCTTACAGGCCAGGCTGAGGGACCCCACTGGTGCATGAATTCATACACCAAGTCTCTAATATATATATATAATGCACATAATTGAGGAAGAAGAATTAGAGTACAATTTTGGTTTATATATGTCTTAAATTTCCTTAAATCCAAATCCAAATTTCATTATCATGGTACCTTCTAGCTGCCTATGGGAACCCAAACCATGGAATATCATGTTCACACAAAAGAACAAGAACCAAAATGTACCATTTGCAATCATGCACAGGGATCATGCCCATTAATGCACAGGAGTCCATCACTGGCCTAGACTCTGCTCCGTCAGCATTATAATACCTTATTTTGGGAGGAGTAAGAAATTATAGAATTATCTTAAGTGAGTGAGCAGAGAGCCAGGCAGAACTATCTCCTCTGCAATGAGACCTAGAGGGCTGGGGGTAGACTGGATTTCAGAGGTGATAGAGAATAAGGGAGGATAAAGAGTGCAGTTTCACTCCCGGGTCGGTATCTAGGTTAGACAGGCTGCACTGAGGAGCAGAGACAGACAGGAAGCGTTGGGCAGGGTGAAGATGAAGGACTTACTTTAAAATAGGCCCAGGGGGTATCAAGTAAAACTGTCAATGGGTTTAGTAACTGGAACTCTGACCCAGTTCTTAGATATAACCATCTTAGCGCAGCATATAAATAATTGAGATCTAGTATATTTAAGGGGTGGACAGAGGAAACATAACCTGCAAAACAATAAAATTGGTAGAGCAAAAAGGTAACAGGAGTGTGTGATATCATGACAAAAGGAAAATGAAGTCTTTTAAGGAGAGATGAACAACATGTAAACATAAACATCATAAAAAGGAGAGATTAACAATTATATCCTTTTAATATTCTAGTTGTGATATCATCATAAAATGCCTTTTGCTTTAAGCAAGTTCGAACCATACATAGTGATCTTAGTAGTGGGTCAGGGAGTTACAGACAGATTTTAATGGCATAGTGATTTTAGGGTATCTAAAAAATGACGAAAAGGTGAATATGGAGATTCCATAAATGCTAATTCTCTCTCTCTCTCTCTTAGGGAGTAAAAATGTCTGAAGTTGATGTGAGAAGAAGATATCCCATTCTCTTTTACTCCAGTCCCTTCCAAAACCTAATAACTCAAGTTCTACAGATGAGAGCAAAGACTGAAAGGGAAAGAACACGTGGCTAGCCCTGGCCGGTGTGGCGCATTCGGCTGAAGTGTGCAATGATGTGTGCTAGTTTGATTCCAGGTCAGGGCACATGCTCAGGGTGCAGATTCAGTCCCCAGTAGGGGGTGTGAAGGAGTCAGCCTATCAATGTTTCTCTCTCACATGGATGTTTTTCCCTCTCTCTCAAATCCATAAAAACATATTAAACACACACAGAGAGAGTCACACACACAGACACACCTGGCTAAGTTTTTCTTAAAACGTGAGTCTTGGTAAAAATAATTTGTAAAATCTCATCATAGACTGAACCATATTTAAAGCTTTATATTTAATCACAAAGTCTTTTTCCTTCCCTTGAAATCATTTTTAAAAAATTTTTGTTCACATTGGAAATCACATGAGTTACATTTATTTATATATCTGTTTATTGCTTTCCTACACAAACACAAAAATAACCCAGCTGTGATTACATCCTACTGTTTTATAAGTTGTCACCAGG